GCTTTTATTATACAGATTTGCAGATTGCAGATTTACATAAGACTGAAGTATCGAAAAAGTATGTTCCATGCTTTTTGGCAGTGACCCAATAATTGTCGTTCTTTTTTAAATACTTATCCACCGAGAAAGGCGGACATTTGATGCTATTAACCTTTGTCTTTCATCGAATTTCTTGGCGAATGTTCGAAGTTAGTTATCGTTTCAATTTACCGTTACATTTTCTACCTGTGTGTGTTATTTTTGGGTACCAAAAATGCCCAAGCAATTTTGGGAGGGCACTCAAGCAACGGTCTATTTTCAACAGCATTACTTAGATTTTGTGTAAGTTTCGCATTTTTTCACTATTTTCTTCAAAATTTTACTGCAGCTTTACCACCACAAAAATAACACACTGTAGCTCTCGCAGGTAACGCCAAGTTTGGCACAATTGAAGCAAATTAATAGCGAAACTGAAGAAACTGATTTATTTTCCTTATTAAGTGTAATTTGGAATTTTTGATAACACACACAATGCATCTTTTCAAGCCGTAAATCGCAAGTTAAGCAGGATTTTTAAATGGAGCACCTTATTTTTCATAGTAGCATTCAATTTTTCTATAACATAATCTAATGCTATACAACTTTACGACTAATTTCGATTTAAAATTTGAAAATTTCAGTTTGCATGAAAGAAAACACAATGGTGGAACAAAAATACAATAGTGGTTTGCCTTACTAGTAGATCACACTGGTATTTTCTTCTACAAAATGTATAAAGTTGTATTTGAAATGCCCGCTGATTTTGATTAAAAACTATCGACAAATGGTTGTTGGTAAAATGCACGAATATGTTGTTCCATTCAACTTTTCTTTGTTAATACAGTTTTGATTATTCATCAATAAACAACAAACGTTCAAAATTGTTCCAGAAATGTTCTTTTAAGGCAAAAGTTTGACTTTTTCTTGCCCAGAAACAATTATTGCGTCTGGTAAAGATGTCTTCGCTTGAAAAAGCTGACGTTTGCATATAGAAGCATTTTCAGAAAATGTTAATCTCTTTGAGTCAGGTGTTACGTAACTTTACAATAATTTCCACTCAATTCGCAGAAAAAATATCTTGCTTTGTTCTCTTCATTTCTTCGTTCTTTCATTCACATACAAAGAAAGATTTATAAAGTTTGCATGGACTTAAATTGTTTTTCATCCTTTTATCTTTTTTTCTTCATGTTTTCTTACAGTTTCCTTCTTTAGGCGTAAACATTTGCGTTTATCAACGTTTAAAATGATGTAAACTCCAGATCCTGACCTGCTTTCTACGTCTATTTCGGATGATCTTTAAATACTGGCTACTTTCTTCTATCTTCTGTGTGTGCTTCAACTTTGCTTCCTGCAACTGCATCCCAAGGTGATCGTGTGAAAATGGCTAAAGAGTTTGCAAGTAATGCGTGATTTTTCTGACCTTTTTACACATTTCATTGAAAATGAAGATGCTGATTTTATATTTATATTGATGACAATTTCAACTGAGCACAATTTCTTTAATCTGCTCTTCAAAAAATCGATTGGTTGTTGGAGAAGCGCGTTAAAGAAATGCAGTGATACGTGAGCAGCTTGCATATACAAGAAGAGAATTTATGCACTTTTTTGTTAAGTTGAGTAGTTGCAATCATTTTTTCTTCAGTTTTATCTTCAAAAATTGTTTTTTTCTACTGCATTACTTGGGGGCGCCGGACACAGCCCTTTACCGTTTTCAATTCATTTGATACAGGATTTTCAAAAATATATAAATATCTCACACCCTCACCTGAGTACGTTGATTTTTTTATAGTAAAATAAAACGAAATTATATTTCTTTCATTTTGTAAATACTCTGAATGTATTTTCATTCATCAGTTTTTATGGGTTTCACAAATTCGCCTCAAATGTTCCCTTGCATTATTTTATAAAAAAAAAATGGGCCGGTTTATTCGAGTTTTAGTACAATATAAAATGACACGAAACTGTCTGGCTTGCCAGAAAACGTTGTGCTAAATTAAGCGCGAAGTCTTCTGCTTGCATAATTGGAAACAACGAGCCGTGTGAGCCTTAAAGGATATTGTGCTACCGCGGGTTTCCATGCTCTTCGCCCCTACACCATCCCTTTTGTCGGTTGATTTATGAAAATTCCTGAGAGAAGTGATGTGAATTTTCATGCCGCAGAAGCGAATCATCCGATGATTAATTACGTCAGTTATGGAACTTAACAAAAGCCACTGAATGACAATATGTAATTTCCGTTTTCCACTGACGAAGAAAATTCGCCTTGAATTTCATTAAAAAGCAGATACTTAAAAATCGTATATTTCGAAATAATATTGATGTTTTTGATTGCCTCGAATAGCCGCATATATTTTAATATTAACGCTTTTAGTAAAAAATTGGTGGTTTCGTCAATTATTTGAAACTTCTGAAGATCATTCGCAAAAAATAACCTGAAAATTGTTAAATGAGATTTTGGAGGCTTTGATTTTTGAAGTCTTCTTGAATGAACCGTCTATGAATCGATAAACGATATAAAAAATGTACAATCGATTCTAATTTAAAGAACGAAATCGGATTTAAACTATTTTATCCAAATTATTTTTCAGTTTCTCCAAATGTTATAATTCACTTTTTATAAAATCATTAATATATTTTATGAATATATTAAAGTTTTGACAGCTACTGGGTTCCACAGAAATCGATGCTGTACACTACCCGCTGCGAATTTTGGAAAACAGTTTTCAGCGATTCTAACAGAACA